CCCTTTCTTTCCTACTTCTTCCCTTTATATTTCTCTCTCTTGTCTTACTGCTCTAGCTAAGACTTCAAGCACTGTATTTAATGAGAGTATAGGCAGTGGACATCCTTATCTTGTTCCTGATTTCACAAGAAAGGCTTTCAGGTTTCTCCCACTTAGTATAATACTGGCTAACAATTTGTCATATACAGCTGCCCTAGTTACTTTCTATTGCTGTGAAAAAACACTCTGACTAAAACCAATGTGGGGAAGAAAGGGTTTATTTGGCTTACTTGTCTTGATCACAATTTATCATGGAGCCAGGGTATAAACTCAGGACAAGAAGCTGAGCACAAACCACAGAGGAATGCTGCTTGCTGTCTTGCCTCTCTAGACTATGCTGAGCCTGCTTTCTTTTCTTTTCTTTTCTCTTTTCTATTCATTTCTATTCTTGTCTTTTGCATGTGAGTGTATTGTCTGCATGTATGTAAGTGTACCCATGTTGTACAATGCCCACAGAGGTCAAAAGAAAGCATTGGATCCCCTGGAACTGGAGTTACAGAAGGTTGTTAGCCATCATGTGGGTGCTGGGAACTGAACCCAGGTCCTCCACAAGAGAAGCCAATGCTTTTTAACTGCTGAGTCATCTCTCCAGCCCCCAGCTTGCTTTCTTATACATTCCAAGAACACCTGCCCAGGGGTGGCAATGCCTACAGTGGGCTATGCCCTCCTATATCACTCAGCAATCAAGAAGATGCCTCACAGACATGGCCACAGGCCAATCTGATAGAATACCCCAATTGAGGCTCCCTTTTCCCAGGTATGTGAAGTTGAAAACTGATGCTATCCAGCACAATAGCCTTTATCGTGTTGAGGTATGTTCCTTATATTCCTAGTTTCTTCAGGGCTTTTATAATGAAAGGATATTGAACTTTGCCACATAGTTTTGCATCTGATAATATGATTTCTGCATCTAGTAATGTGATTTCTGTCCTACAGTCTATGCACTGTATTAAATTTATTGATTCGTGTATGTTAAATCTTCCTCACATACCTGGAATGAAACAAATTTGATCACAGCATATGATCTTTTAATGTGTTGTTGAATTTCATTTACAGGTATTTTTTAGAAATTTTGTGTCTATATTCATCATCAAAAATGGGCTATAGTTTCCTTTTTGTTATTTTGTTCTTACCTCATTTTTGTTTCATAGAATGAGTTTGGTAGTGTTCCTTCCCTTTTTATTTTATAAAACAGTTTAAGGATCATAAATGTTAGCTCTTCATTAAAAGTTTGATAGAATTTGTCAGTGAGTTTATGTGATGGTCCTGGACTTTACTTCAACTCTTTATCACTGTTTCAATCTGATTAGTCATTATAGATCTGTTTAAGTTATTTATATTCTCTTGATTTATTTTTTATAAGCCACATGCATGAATGTAGGTGTTTATCCACTTTTAGATTTTCCAGCTTTGTGAAATATGTTTTCACAGTATTCTATAATGATCCTCTGAAATGTATTGGTAGCTGCTGCATTTTAGTCTCATTTAATTCATTTCTGTCACAATCTTTCATATTTTTTGTTATTGCTTTTGCATTTGACTATTCTTGTTTTTTTAAAGACATTGAAGTACATCATTTAGTTATTTGAGATGGCTCTGATTTTTTAATGTAAGCACTCATAACTATAAACTCCTTTTAGAACTGCCTTTGCTGTATCGCAAATGTTCTGGTAGCTGGGGCTTCAGCTAGATCCTGTCTCAAAAACAAACAAACAAACGAGGTTGTATTGTTCAATCTCTATGCATTTGAAACCAATCACTTCTTTAGTTTCTTTTGATCTTGCCCTTCTAGTTTTATTCCACTGTGATCTGGTAAGACATAAGAAATTATATTTATTCTATATTTGTTAAGATGATTTATGACTTAAAATGTGATCTACCATTAAAAAGTTCCTTGGACTGCCAAGATAATGTATTTTTAACATCTTTTAAGTGTAATATTTTACAAATGCTTGTTGAGACCATTTGATCTGTGATGTAGTTTAACCCTGAAGTGCCTGATGATTTTCAGTCTGGATGAGCTACCTACTGATGAGAATCAAGTACTGAAATCAGCCAGCTCGTATCAGGACCTATCTATCCTTTATGTGCATTATTGTTTTATGAGACTGAGAGCCTCACTCTTTAATGCATGCATATTTACAGTTGTTGTATCTTCTTACCAGATTGTTCTCTACAATAATATGTCGTCACCTTCTTTATCTCTTCTAACTAATTTTGGCTTGAAGTCTGCTTTATCAGATATAAAAACAGCTATCCTGGCTTCGTTTTGGCTTCTGTTTACTGGGTGTATTGGCTCCCATCCTCTTGGGTTTTTTAATGCTCTCTCTTTTCACTTCCATTTATCTATGCCTCTTCTTTTAGGTTCTTTCAACATCCTTCACTGCTTTAGGTTGTACATGCTAAGGTTGATGCTATTTGTAAACTGCAATGACTTCCAGGTTTCCATACAAACATAGCAAACTTTCCATAGGTCAGAGATTGTAAATTAGTGGCCTCTGAATTCGTCAGTTATACAAGTTAACAAACATAACATTCAAGCTTTGACAATCCTTCACCATTATTAAATCAATTTTTAATATAAAACCCAGATTTGGGATTTCTTTTGGACACATGCACATTCTTTCTGCTGCTACCTTCAGTCAAAATATATTTTCCAGGCTATGGCAGCACCTGACACATATGCTCTACCCATTTCACTCACTCTTCCCCATTATCTTTGTGGGCAGTTACTACTGACTGAAACCACAGGTAGGGAAATGACTTAGAGGCTAAAAATACTAACAGAACTGACTGAAGCAGGCAGCGTGATCACACTTATTCCAAACCATCTCATCCCCCCCTGGGTATTTAGAACATGGAGATATA